CCCACGCCAGCCCATCTGGCTGCTTTGGCCGACCTCACGTCGTTGTGTTTGTCTACAAGGGCTTTGCCTCCAGCAGCCGGGGGAAATGATTGCTGGCCAGCGGTCTCACCCAGGCCCCAGGACACGAACATGGTCTGCCGAGTCAAGAGCGTGAAAGCAGTATTCTGAGCAGTTGCCTGCAAATTCTGATTTCCCTGGCTGTCCAGCCACCTGCCATCCCTTCTTCTGCCTTGTTAAGAGAAAAAGACCCCTCCCTGTCTTAAGGGCAAGGTGATCAGAAGGAAAAACCGAAGCCAGAAAGGACTGTGCTTGGTGAGTTCAGAGAGCAAGAGGCAGCTGTGTCACCACCCGCCTGCACAGTTGTCCCCAGTGAGATAAATGCAAGAAGTAGGCCCCGCCACGCCCTTGCTGCCTCCATACCATCTGCTCACTTGGGGAGCCGGGGGAGCCGGGTGATCCTGAGGGACCAGGCGCTCCCACACTCTGCCTGCGACACCAGGGAAATTCTGTTAGCGCCCATTCCCCGGCCTGTCTCCCCAAAAAGGCGGGGCTCAGCTCCTGGCATGCTACCAGGGAGAGGGCCTACCCTTTCCTTTAGAGCAAACCTACAGTCCAGGGAGAAGAGACCAAAACAGGCTGTCCCTGCAGAATTCAGGGGCATCCTGAGAGCAGTTACCTAGTCAGCTCAGGCTCCCTCTGTGGGGGAGATAAGGCTGCTGGTTAAGAGATGGACAGGAACAGCTCGAGAAAAGGGGGCAATGACCTGGAGACTGCGCAGAGACCCCAGCTACTGGAAGACCAGAAAGGGTCCACTAGCTGACTCCCACAGACCCCCTCAGGCCAAAGACCCAAGAGTAAGGCCAGAGGTGTGGCTCCCCTCCCTGCCAGAAGTCTCCCTTCCCAGTAGAGTTGACTCTAGTTCTGGGGGGCCATGGTCAATCAGAACCATATGCCTGACCCTCCCTGGTGGCACCACCGGTTGGGAAGCAGCACTGTAAGCTGGCTGCAGCCGCTTGAGTGCAAGTTCCATCCCCGGCCCCGGAGATGACCCCACACAGCACGGCAGACCTCTCCTGACCCGCCCGCTCGCTGCTCCCCTCAGCAGTGTTCTTTGTCCATCTGCCTGTTCTGCTCCCCACTCTGACTCTGGTGAATCCCCTCATGGCCCTGCATCTCTGGCCTGTACCCGAGTTCTGTACGCATAAATAAATACATCTTTAAAAACAAACAAACAAACAAACAAAACAAAAAAAACCAACCACACGCCTCATCATCCTATCTGGAGAGAAGACTCCCCGAATGGTACCAACCCCAGCCACTTTCACACTGCTTAAGAGGACAAAATCACAGGCGCTCGAGGCTTCTACAGGTGAGCACGTCCGGTTGCCTATACCTCGGCCTCCCGGGGAGTGCAGTTGGGGACAGTAAGGAGACTCGTTTTGTTTCGTTTCCCCCTTCCTTTTCTATGTTTCTGTTTTTATATTGTCTTAGCAGCAACAGAACAGGGAGACAGTCTTGAGGTATTTTAAAGGTTTTTTTTCTTAAAAAAAATAATATAAAGTTATAAAAAGCGGCAGTAGCCTGGGGCCCGGATCTGGAGGGGAGGTGGTGCTGGCGGCTCCGTCGCAGTGGGCAGGCACTTTCTTGTTAATGGGCTTTTGACTGCAGGAAGACAAGAGCGAGAGACAGGGTCAGGCTGAGGGCCTACCAGTCCTCCCACCCAGTGAACTGTGGGGGCCATTAGCGCTAACACTTGGTTTCCTCCTCCTGGCCTGGAGAGGAAAGCTGGGCAAGAGGGACGATGGATGTCAGCCCAGCAGGGGCAGCCTGGAAAACACCATGCACACGTGTGCACGCGCACCCGCCCGTCCGCCCACACCCACACCCACACGCTGAGGCCCTGGGCAACTGTCAAACTCACTCCTCTCACATGGGCGCCAAAGGAGTTGGTATGCATCTGGCTGGTGCCTAAACCAGGAAGGCCTCCCCCCTTCCCACCTCCAACAAGTACCTCCTGGCTGAGATCATATGGATAGCCCATAGCATGCTACTCCAGGGCTCCCATCAGAAGAGGCACATAAACCTGGCTGCTGGCTTTACCAGAAACCCTGGAGAACTTGCCTGGCACCTGAAAACCTGGAAGTGAGCACATGTGCAAGGTGGGCACACATGCATTTGTGGACCTTGAGTTGTGTCCCTGCCCTTCCATGCCCTGATGTTCAGAGATAGAACCAAGGAACGAGACCCACCCGCCCACGGCCTGCCCATCCTATCAGGTCACAGCTCAAGGTCCCAAGCTCAAGTCCACCGCCCACCACTTTCTTATCAGAACTCATGGAGTCCAACTTCCTTTCCATCGGGAGTCAGGGACACAGTCAATTCAGGAAATGGCCTTTTGATTAAAGCAAAAGTGGGGCTGGGAGGGAAGGGAGAGGCAGCATCTCCTCAGCCCGAGAGAGGGCTGGCGGTAGGGGAAGGCCCAGGGGGCAAGTTAGGGTCTCTCAGCTAAAACCCTCCTCTCCCTAAAGATGCTCCAGGAACTCTCATCTCTCCCTCCATGCACAACCATTTACTAGCACCTTCCCTGGGTTCGGGTTCCCACCACGGACTCCACCCGCTTCCTTCCTGGCCCTCCCCTGGGCATGCTTTTCAGGGAGCCGAGCTGGTACCTTCAGCGTAGAGCACTTCTCCTCAAAGGCCAGGGCCGGGCCTGGCTTCTTGCGGCGCACGGAGTAGGCCGCGTCGGCAGGGGCAGCAGCCTGGCAGTGCTTGGTCTTCACTGGCCGGCAGTACGTGGCCAAGTTTTTCCGCTTCTTTGCTACCTCCTCCTCGGAGAGACAGTTGGTCGGCAGGGACTTGGCTGGGTGTCCAGCCGTCCCCCGGTTGTCCAGCTGAGAAGCCTTGACTGGCAGGGGGGGGTGAGGGGAGCCCCGACAGTCCAGGGGCCCCGCCCTCTTCACGCGTGGCCCCACCGTCCCATTAAGCGCCATGCTCAGGGCTGTCTTAGTCTTGGTTGAGAGGCCCCGGCAGCCAGCGGGTTTGCCTTTCCCAGTGGGCTCCAGGAGGCAGGTCCGTTTGAAGGTGGTGGGGCCAGGGGATAACTTCCGCTTTCGAGAAGGGGCCTCCACCTCAACCCCGTCCTTGCCTCTGGAAGACTTGCTGGCCTTCGAAGGTGGGAGCTTGCTGAAGGACGGGGACGGCGTGTTGGCAGGCAGCGGTGAGGTGATGGCCTGGTTCCCGCCCGTGCACTCTGCCTGGCTGCAGGCAGCTGCCACACTGGGGCAGCCTGCAGGGTAGCTGGGGACAAGGCTGTCCTTGGTGGGGGGTGTGGAGGCTGGGCAGGCGGGCCTGGGGGGTGGGCCTGGAAGGCGGGGACAGCTGCCCGTGGAAGATGGGCTCAGGGGAGCAGACAAGGGGGAGCTGACGAGGTGGGGTGGCGGCTCCGCTGCCGGTGGTATCTTCCTGTAGCAAAGAGCAAGCCACTGTGATGCCAAGCGAACAAGAGAGCCTCCCCACACCAGCACACACACGCTCAACCCCACCTAGCAGTGGCCCACAGAGCCGAGCACTGCTGCCATCTGCTGGGAGACGCTGGGACTGCGGGTTAGGAAGAAGACGCAGGGCAGGAATGGCTGGGCGCAGGCAAGAGCTAGCACAGAGAACCACCAGGAACCTCATTTTAAATCTCGGTTTGGGTACCCCCCGACCCCTCGTCGCCCTGGAGACACTAGAGGACGTGCCTAAGAGTCAAGACCCACTCCTGGACCACCCACGGAGGTCACTGCCCGGCTGCCCGCCGCCCTTCATTCTAGCTGGGGTCCTTCCGCAAACAGCCAAGCTCCATCTCTGGGAGGGTGTGAAGAAGGGGGCTCCCAGGGCCCCGTGTACGCCTGGAGCCTGGGAAGGGGAGTTCTGGGCTCAAAAAACTCACTTCCACATGTGGGAGCTGAGGTGCCGCTCCAGCATAGAGCTCAGTGCCGAGCAGAACCGGTCCAGCCGGCGGCTAAACACGTAGCATCCTGGACTCACCAGCCGGCTCCCAAAGGTACAGAACTGGAGGAAGAAGGAAGGCACGTGGTTAGGGCGGCCTGAGATGCAGGGACGGTACCCTGCGCAGGCTGGGACCTCCCCCCAACTTTGCCGGCTAGGACTGGGTCAGCCCCCACCCCAGGCCCCGGCCCCAGGTCCTTACCGCCTGTGGCCGCGGGGGCCGGGTGGCAAAATGGCAGTCAGGGGGCAGGTGGAGGTCCTCAGACGTCCCCTCCTCCTCACTCTCCTCGCTGGAGGCCTGGGCCCCACCCCGGGGCAGGGGGAAGGGAAACAGGCCTGGGTCCCCATCAGCACCGCAGGGGCCTTCATCATCCAACTCACTCTCAGAGGAGGCCCGGGACCTGGAAGGGCCAAAGTGGACGTAAGGGTGACGCAACGGGAGTGGTTCGGGGGGGGGGTGGCCCTGATCCCGCCAAGCTCGAGAAGCCAGGGCAGACACCCCATGGGCAACCAGACAAAGAGAAGGAGGACAGGAGGGAGGGAACAGCAGGGCTCAGAGTCAGAGCCAGGAAGATCAGGGGCCACAGCTCCCCGGGGTCGTCTCCCCAGCCCCCTTCACTTCCCGGGCCCTGCCTGTCAGGGGGGAAATCTGCTCCAGATTCGCCTCCTCCAGACAATCTTCTGAGTTTAACTGCACCCAGTGCTGGTCAGCCCCGTCAATTTCCTCAACCCCCTTCTTGCATCACATATTCCTGTGAGCCTGTCTGGGAGCTGAGCATGTTTCGTGTCTGCCCTTCGTGTTACAGGCAGAGATGCGTGTGTGTCTCCTTCGGCAAGGCAGGCTCTCCCCGGGGTCCAGCGCGGCCTCTGCACACGAAGGGGCCAGTGAATGAATACACAGTAGCACTGCCTCACCCAGGACCCTGACCCTTCGGCTCCCCAAATACAAGCTCTGGTCTGTCGGAAGCAGTTGGGGAGCTGCTTGTACCCCGGGTGCTGGATCTGACACGCTCTAGAGAGGCTGGGGTGCTGGGATGTGCTTGCTTAGGAATGGGAATGGCCCGCTTCTGCACTGCTGCCAGGGACCCCAGGGACCCCCCCACACTCAGGGCAGAGTGAGCAGCATCTTTCAGGCCACTCCCTGGGCCTGTCTCCAGGGGTCCCTGCTGGTTTGGGGGCCAAGAGTCCCCCGGTGAGATGGGGGCTACAGCCTGGACATACCTGGGCAGGGCACAGTATGGGTAGGTCTGCTTGGCACGAGCAGAGAAGGTGCTGCTGGGAGCAGCTGCCGCTGCCATAACCTGGACTGAGGAAGGAAGTTCCTGGGAGGGGCGCTCCGGAGCTGGCTCCTTTCGCCCTGGGCTCTTCTCCTTGGGAGACTCCCCTTTTCGGGAGTTGGCCTTCAGCTCCGCTACGAGCACATCAAAGTCCTTGGCCCGTCCCTGGACCTCCCTGCGCTGGTGCACTGAGTGGATCTAGAATACAGCAGGGTGGAGGGGAGGAGGTATGAGCTGAGCCTGTCCTGGGCAAGTGGGGAGCAAGGCAGTGTGCGCTGGTGGGTCTCTCTTACTTCCCCACAGGACCAGAACTCCCCTTTGGGGTGAGGGGGGGATACAGAGGTCACCCCATAACTACTGCCCCCACTGTGGGTGCACTGGGCCTTAGCCTGGTCTGGGCTTAAGCCATGCCCTGAGCTGCATCTTCCACATCTTAGTCCCATTCCTTGCCCCGGGCCCAGGTCTCCGCCGTCCTCCCTCACTGTGTAGCTGGAGTCAGGGTTACCTTGCAGGTGAGCAGGCGGGTACAGATCTTTTTGGTCTCTGGATTTATGACCCCACACTGCCTGTTGAGGTCGCACTCCTTCCCTGTGAGGAAAGAGGTCCCCATGAACCCCAAGGTCATTTCCAGGAGGCCCACAGGAAGATCTGGCTTCTTCCAGCTGAAGGCCTGGGGAGAGCTGGGCCAGCAGCGGAAGGGCCCTTGGCCCTCAATCTGGGGCTGCAGCCTTCCAGAGAAATTCCTCTGTGCATCAGCAGTTCTGCAAAAACCAGCCCCATGCCCACGCCCAGCTCATGCACTGCCTTTGGGGGCTCTAAGCCCAAAACAAAGCATCACAGATCAAGAGACTCTAACAGTGACAGCATCTGCGACATCAGGGAAACAGCTGTGGGCGGTGTCTAGTGCCTCGGGTCTAGGTGAGAAAAGAGTGAAAGGTCACAGCCCAAGGTGAGAAAGAATAATTTCATCTGATGGGGCATAAAAACTCCCTTTGCCTTGCCAGGGAACCTGGGCAGCACAGAAGCCCTGAGAGCAAGCGGTACATGTGAATGTCGAAGCATGACCATGAGCTCCCAAACCCCAGCAACCTGGGGCCCAGGCTGCCACTCCTTCCCGCCCGCCCTGCCCCCCAAATCAGGCCCAAGGACAAAGGAGTCCCCTCTGGGCTTTCCTGACACCCAAGACCGCAACTACTCACGAGCCATCTTCCGGTGGGTTTTGGGGGGCAGCCTGGCCCCGCCAGGCTCCTTTTCAGGGGGGCTGCCTTCCACTCGGTGACTGGGGCCCTCGTTGGGGATTATCTCGATGCTTTCTCTGGCGGGAGGTTCTTTAGAAGGGGGTGCCGTAGGGGTTTTTGCAGGGGAGTCCTTGATGAGGCCACCCGGCTGGCTGAGGAAAGCAGAGGGCGGGGCCACCCTGATTCCATGTCCATCAGGCTTCGGGAGACCGGACATCTTCTCCAAATTCACCACAGGCACGAAAAGGCTACATATGGAGAGAGGGTGTGGGCTGCGGGGCAGGGAGGCTGGCTCTGGCGTACTGGAATCTCCTTTGTGGCCCCAGACCTTGGGTAGGGTCCAGCTGGGGTACAGGTCATAGGGGAAGGAGACCCCATGTCCCACGGAGCACTCAGAAGGGAGCCACAGACAGAGGTGGCTGGCTCCTGCTGTGCATGGTGCCCACAGCCCCACAGCTGTCTCCATCTGCCGCGACCCTCCCTGGGCTAGGGTCAAGGCCAGTCAGGGGGTCTGCAGCCTCTCCTTACCAAAGGTTGTCCTTCTGAGTCTTCTCGGGGGGCTGGTGGCTGCGGCTCCGGGACCCCTGGCCCTTCTCCCTGGAGGAGGTTTTGGTGGAACCTGGGGCCCTACAGGCTGGGCCCTGCCCGTTCACTACATGGCATTTCTGAGAGCTGGCAGGGGCTGGTGGTGGGGGTGGGGCCCGGGCGTAAAGCTTGCTGAGGGGCCCGTGTCTTCTTTCTGTCACCAGGAGGTGGAGAAAGTAAGTGAGGTGAGTGGCACCAAATGGTGCCGTCCACAGTCTCCGAGCCCTGTGCACAGATTCCCTTCAGCGACTCTGGGGCTCCCGTAGTTTAGATTTTAAATTTGCTTCCTCCCCATCGGAATTTGAGCCTTCAAGACTCACAACTCCAGGACCTAGTTCCCTGATGCTCTTAGGTCTTCCCTCACCTCACTAAATGTGGCAAGTCTGCTCAAAAGATATGCTCCATCCCACCACAATCCCGGAACCTGCCGGCTGGGCCCTTCCTATCCTCAGCACCGCCCGCCCTCAGCCACATGGCCCCCCCCAAATGACCCAGTCCTCAGTGTTCCCTGAACCACCTTCCCCTGTCCCCTCAAGGTCCTCCCTAGGCCTCCCCTCACCGCAGTGCTTCTGGAAAGCTTGAGGCTTCACCACTTGGCTGCAGTGGTTACACACAACCAAATAGAAGTCGTCATGGGCAGGGCAGTGCCCGAAGATGGACATGTCTGCAACGACAGAAGCCCTTATCACTGGGGCTGGGGACTCCAGGGGTGCTCCCGCCCCCCACTTAGAAGATACTTTCCCCTCCCAGCTGACAAGTTTTATGCTGGCACTCCCAACTTTCAAAGTTCAGTATAACCTGTCCCCCCAAAGGTGGCTTTCAGGTGAGCAGGCAGCAGTCCCCTCTGACAAGATCTCCCACTACAGGCTTCAGGAGCCAAGGGATTGGGCGGCCTCAGATCTATCACCCGACCCCCAGGCCGCTGGGATGTGGTGGAAGAGAGGAAGGTGGTCCTGCCCGCCCTGGGCCCCAGCTCTAATGTGCGCTGACTCCCACCTTCTTTAATGAGGGTCATGGCATCCAACTTCTTTGCGCTTTTGTTACTCTCCTCCAGCTCAGCCCCTGGAGGAGAAACACAGCTCAGAAGGACTGCTCCCTTCCCAGAAGCCCCATCGACTACCCACCCTGGGTCTACAGCGGGCAGCAGGAAGCCCACGCTCCCGGTGCTCAGGACCCTTGCGAAACCTCCCAGTGGGTCATTCTCAAATGCCCATTCTTCCTTCACCTGCTACCTCTGGAATGAGCTGGCCTCATCGGGGGTGACCCAGCCAGCTACCGGTGAGTGAGATGATGGCGGCCTGCCTCTCATCTAAATGGAAAGCAGTCCTTAACATACTCTGCTAAGGTCTGGGTCTCTTCTTGAGCTTTCTCACATGGGGGGTGGGGTTCCTTTCTGCTACTCTGCATCATCCCAAACAGATACTCTTCCAGATCCTCACACCCAGGAACCCAGTTTTGTTCCACCTGCATTATCTTGGCATGATCACAGTTATACCCGGCTTCTCACCTCCTGCATGAGAGGATGGCCACAGAACAGAGAAACTGCTGTCTTTGGGGACCTCTGACATCTTCAAAGTCCCCTTGATCAGCTAAGCCAGCCTTTCCCCTCCTTAGGAGGGCTTTGACCAAGGGCTGCCCTTGTACCTCAGTTTCTGGGTTGATGACAAAAACATCTTAGCTGTGCAAAGCAGCTCTTTCCCCATCCCCCTACCTTACTCCTCTCCCCTCCCTCCTGTACGCCCCCTCCCTGTCCCTTGGAAAAAAAAAAATCAATTCTGAGTCACCAAACCCGGCTGATTCCATTTCCGGTTCTCAATGCACCCAGACCCTGACAATGGCCCCATCCTTGCCCATCCAGCATGGGAAAGTCCAGGGGTGGCCTGGGCTCCCACTCAGGTCTGCTTCTGATGCCTACTAACAGATTTGCCCTCTTCTAGGATGAGAAGGTTGTTATCCATCTCATATAACCTCCAGAGACGAGGGGTGGTGGGTTAGGCATGCAAGAGACAGGGGCAGCTCCCACTCTTCAGTCTGTTAAAATGCAGAGACGGACAGAACCCAGCTGGGAGTCAGATGTCTCAGAGGAGAACAAGTGTCATCAGAGACTGCTCCATGCGGTCTCCTCCTCCACCTCTTCTCACTTGCAAACTTCTTCTGGGGCGTGATGCCTGCTGTCACCTCAAAGGCCACGAGGCCAGGTGCCCCCTGGGGCCCAGAAGACAAAGATCTGGAGAAGGGGCTGTCAGCTCTCTCACCAAAGCCACACACGGGCCTAGAGAAAGTGGGGGTCAAGGGAGAGGGCCAAGAGGCAGGGCAAGAGGCCCGGGAAAGGACAGAGGATTGGAGGCATGGATGGGTGGACTGTAAGAGGGAGGAAGGGAGGATGGGTAGATGGATGGACGGACCAACTAATGCAGAGGCGGAGGGGGTCCAGTAGCAGTGCAGCTGGCAGGCAAAAGCCAGAAAGGAGCAGGAGGTGTGGGGCTGAAAGCGAAGGAACGAGGAGGTTGAGAGGGGGGCACAGAAGTGGGGTGCGTGGGAAACACGTGGAGAGGACTGTTGCGGATGGGCAAAGCCCAGGGCAGGTGCAGGAGGGGCGGAAGCTGGAGGCCAGCAGACAAGGAGAGAAATAAAGGCAAGCAGATGTGGGGGCAGGTATTGGGCACTGGCAGAGGCAGAGGTGGGTAGGGTGGGCTGCGGGCGGTGAGCCGGCGCTAGGACCCGGAGGCGCGAAGGTGGCGGAGCGGGCGGGCACTAGGACCCGGCGGGTCCTTTGTTTGGGGGGCCGGGGAGCCGGACGGCGGCTCCCGTCGGCTGCTCCCCTCTGCTGGCGGGGACCCGAAGTGGGGGAGGGGAGACAGTGATGGGGTCCTCGGACTCTAGGGGGGCTTCACTCACCGTCAGCCACGGGCAACTCGGCCCGCTCCACCCACGAGCTCCAGCTCTGTCCCGCGAAGTCATCGAGACTCGGCACCCGCCGCTCCAGAGCGGCCATTGCTGCCGCCGCGCGTTCACGCACCGCCATCACCGCC